GGTTCCGAGGTTTCGAGGTTCCGAGGTTTCGAGGCTTCGAGGCTTCGAGGTTTCGAGGTTCCGAGGTTGCGAGGCTTCGAGGCTTCGAGGTTTCGAGGCTTCGAGGTTTCGAGGTTTCGAGGTTTCGAGGTTGCGAGGTTCTGAGGCTTCGAGGTTCCGAGGTTTTGAGGTTTCGAGTCCGAGGTTTTCTTATAGGAGACCATTTCAAATTTAGAGCTTCCTTAGGGGTTATTGCGAATTCAGGCCTTATTATAAGTACTATTTCTAATCAGGGCCTTATGAATTAAAGACCATTTCTAATTAGGGCCTTGTATTAATGAAAGACTGTTGCTAATTAGGGCCGTTTTCGGGACTTTTCAAGTTAACGTCTTAGCAAGGGCCATTCCAAATTAAGGCTTCATTAACAGTATCTCACATTAGGTCCTTATTGGGGATTATCTGAATTCAGAGCCCTATTGAAGACTATTTCAAATTAAGACCTTATCAGGGACTGTTTCAAATTAACGCCTTGTTAGGGATTATTTCAAGGTAGGGCATTACTATAGGGACTACTTCAAATTAGGGCCTTATTGGGGACGATTCCAAAGTAGGGCTTTGTCATAGGGGTACCTACGGGTCGTTAACGCGCAGGAAAAATACGTTTCCGCCTGAGCCCATCGGGACTGGCCTACGTGGGACGAACAGCGCTTTTGGACCTTCCGAGGCCTCAAAATCACTGGCGCCACCGCGCATCGCGGGTTTCGCTCAGCATCCATGCGGTGACCATGACAACATCCACCCCCTTTGCGTACGGTTTCCCACATGCCCAAGCCATAATAACGCTCGTGTTCCAGGGGCATACGGTGAACGAGAGAATCCATGGCGGACGAGAGAAGCAAGGAATCCTCCATGTTCGGTCAACTGCAGCGATACCTGAAACGGAAGGGATGTTCTGACTGGGTCCTTTCTTTGGCTTAGTGTTCCGGCGCCATCGTTGCAAGGGTTGATCATCTTCTGAACTGAGATCTCCCGGTGGCAGTGGCTGTCTTTCTTCTGCGTCTCTGCTGCTCACCTCACTGAGTGAGCTATCCAATCGCACTTTTACAGATGAAGGCGCCCTTTCACGCGGCCTGCCTCTCTGCACTCCTGGTGTTGTCTCCGTCGCTGCCTGCGCTTCTTTTTGCTCCCTCTTGTATATGGCCGGGGCTGTTGTCACTTTCTCCCTGTCTGCATGATCGGGCCTCGTGACTCCCTGCTCTGCCTTTTGTCTTGGCAGTTGCTCCTATCTTTCTAGTTCCACCGCAAGCTCGTCCACCTTGGTTTCGTCCACTCGAGCGCTGGCTGGCGGTGGCACTCTGTATGATGCATGCTTCTGTTTCATCTCTGATCCCTTTCTTCCAGTATGTGTTTCCGCTAATTTCTCCGGTTCTTTTCCGTTCACTTTGTTGTTGTTGGCTTTTCACTGCAAAGTTTGCTCCACCATGTCGGGGCTCTCTTCTCCTGATCTCGTCCGTAATGGCACCGTACTTCCCGTGCCCGGCGTCTTCCCATCTGCACTTTTCTTTTTTTTGGCTTTCCTCCTTTTCTTTGGTGGGGGCTTCTAAGGTGACGTGCTTGCTGATGAACTTGATGAAGAACTTGATGAGACTGCAGCCTTTGTAGTTCCTTGTGTCTGTTGGTCTGCCCCAGTCTCTCTCTTTGGCATCTGTTTTTGCATTCCTTCTCGGCCATCTTGTGCTGTAGCTTCCGCAACAAAAGCAAAGGATGCCTTCCCCGTAGCCCTCCCCTTGCCGCCCTAGTCATATGCTTTTTCGTTGCCCCCACCACATGCCTCTAGCATGAGGTCCGTAGTTGTGGCATTTCTTGACGTTGAGAGCGCAAGCTAAGTACACCGCGTCCTGAAGATCTTGGCATGGTTCCCCTGGTACCTGATCATCTGAAGTGTTCTTCTTTCCCCTCGTTCCTTTTCCAATATCCGGAAACTTCTTCCTTTTACCTTTCGGTTCCAGTTCTGCTCTGCTTTCCGCTTCCTCCCTATTCTCCGCGCAGCTGCTGCTGGGGCCCATGGCGAGATGAATCTTTTTTAGCAATGTTTGTATCACGCTTCACCTAAAAAACATTCCAACACCCCACCTTCAAGGCTCTTCTGAGACACGATCCCAAACCCACAAATCCCCTTTTCTTCCAAGCTGTTTCCCTGAAAAAGTGCCCTTGTTCAACTCTCAGGTGGCTGCAATCTCCGCGGTGAGGGGCCTGGCCTTATGCAGGGATCCCAAACACCAGCAATCCTGAGAAGATCAAACTTTAGCCTCCAGGATGAAATTCCGCAAATCAAAGGCTCGGTCAACCCCGCGGAGGGGCACTTGCCTGCACACCTGCTCAATCTAAGATGGCCGCGGCCGTGAAGCCTCAAGCCCCCCTTCCCGGACACACGTCCACCTACTCACCCTCAGAGGTTACTGCCCAAGGGCGATAGGCCGGTGCCGGGATGCTCCCCCTCCCCAATGAAGGGGAAAGCGGGCGGGAGACTTGAGCCAAAATGGCTTGAGCCAAAATGGCTAGAGGAAAGATAGAGCTTTCTCTCTCTGTATGCTCTCTCCTAACTTCTCCACCTCTGGAAGAAGAGCTCTCAACCTGAAGTACAACGTGGGTGCTTCGTGTTATCCATGCTCTGGAGTGTGGAAAATACTGAGCCCTACTCCGCTCTCTCAACGGTAGGGCTCCACTTAGCGCTTAGCTGGCCAACATCAAGCCCTACTCCGCGCACAAGACCAGGCTTCAGCATTCATGAAACCGTTGGTGCATGAAGGGAGCTTCGGGCTTGTCATGTAGAGCAAGCAACCAGCAAACTTACAAAACAAGACATAGGCCAACATCAGAAACCATGCTTTCCAGCAGCACTGTGTCAAAGAGCACCTCCGTCCTGTCAAAGTCAAAATCAAAGATGCACTGCTTTGCTAACCCAAAGCCAGCAGAAATATCACGACACTGCGGTCTCTCCTCGAACTGTGATGCCGTCTCTTGCAGCTATGATTGCTTGCTGTCTTGTCTCCTTCAGAGAGGATTGTACGCGCGCAAGCCATGATCTCAAACCATGCGTATGTGTCAAAATGCCAACACGCACAATCAGCATCCGAGCAACATTGTCAAAAAAGCCTTGCATGCGTGTGTGTTCGAAATTGTCGTCCTGGGAGGCGAAAATTACAAATGCAATCGATGTTGAAGACCTCATCAGTTGCAGCATCCCCAGCAATCATGAAGGGCCAATAAGACTCTGTGTCATTCTTGCTGTAGCAGATGCAACCGACCTTCCTTTTTCTTACTCAAAAACACCGACCGCACCAACCCGGAGAAAATGTGCCTGCAGCCCGCAGGCTGCTTCCACGGAAGACCAAATGCTGAGTGAGGTGCATTCCATGCAGCATGGAGTTGATCTCCTAGGCCCAGGCTATTTCCATGCAGAACTTAGCTGCCGCCTCACAACACCCGTCTCATTCCCCCAACCTCCAATTTGCCACTTAAGGTTTTCTACGGTCAGCCATGAACTCCCAATGTCAGTTCAGGCTCCCAGAAGGCTAGGCGACCTTGAAAGAAAACCATCTATCTACCACTGTAAATTCCGTCAGCCAAACACAAGTGCTCGAATTCTTTTTTCAAGTCCCGCCATTTTCTAGGTGGCTCTCACCCCCAAGTCCAGTGAATGACAATAAAGCTATGCGGTATAGCTACAGTGCCGCTGTCGTCAGGCAACCATGTTCAGAAGCCTTTGTCAACCATTCGCGAGACAGGCTTCGGATGCATGGACCTCGTGATGTCCGAGATGGACGTGCCTTGGATCTTGCAAGTCTTTGCACTTTGCGTGGCACTTTCGTGCTCACCTAATACCACCACTGCAAAACTATACAACAAGATTTGCTTTGCACCCACCAACGCGGCATCCTTGCAAACAACTTTGTGCGAAGCAGTGACCAAGCATTGAGGACGAGGTCTGTGGCCCACAGCTCGGCCTAGGGGTCATGCTGCAATGCACTAGAAGGGTAGCACACGCTAATAGGATTGCTTCCAATTTCTTCTACAATGGACAAGACAGTGGGTGCTACCATCCCGCTTGACTGCACCTTGTCCAGGAGACGACTCGGTGGATTTTCGTCTGAGGAGCCGTGAGCACCTGCGCACAACTGCGCAGGCAATCGAAGACTACAAACTGGCATTCAGCGCCTGCCTTGTGGAGTTTCCACTTCTGCTTCTTGTTCCAGGATGGTATCCACCATGTGGCGCTCCGTTGCATAGTCCTGGAAGTTAGCAAACATGAATACAGACTTAACATATAGCTTTGTAAGCTTTTTAAGATGACACACTGGCTGCACTTGACTCAATATTTGTCAACTTCGCCGCGCGGCCGCACGCTGGTTGAAAAACATGCGATGGTCTGCTCACTGAGGGAACGCAAAACCATCATCAAACACCAAGTGGACAGCGCATATGCATGCAGGGACACGGCGTGCGCGGTCCCACGCCACGGAGACACCCACAGGCTCGCATCCAATGGCAGCTGTCATCGCCTCCTTCAGCATCTCCTCTCCGCATAAGACAGGCTTCGTTTTGTACGAGATGATTCAATACTCTCTGGCAATGTTAAGTCCTAAATACTTGAAGCGTACTGCATATTACTACATGATACCATACTAGCAGATGATAACAGGGTACAACCCCGTACAATCCTATATCATGACAGACACAGACCCCCTCTCTCCCTCAACTTTTTTGACGTGGCGCTGCCTCAGCAGGCTCCCGGCCAGATATGGGATCAAAACCCTCCAGCTTGGCGGCAAAGCCTGTGGCTTAAACAGCAGTGGTAGTTGACGTCATGTAGCAGCAGCAGCAGCAGCAGCAGCAGCAGCAGTGGTAGTAGTAGTAGTAGTAGTAGCAGCAGCAGCAGTAGTAGTAGTAACAGCACAACGGATTGTAATACTAGTAGCAGTAGTTGTAGTAAGTGGGGTGCAGTTTACGTCCGAGATCGCTCCCGAAATTACTTGCCAAAAGCACCAAAACACAAAACATCTCTTGGGCAGAAGCTTTCCATGGTGGCATGCTCGACGTGGACGCTCTTGAACAGCTTCGTTTGCTGAATCCCGTAGAAAATGGCCCCACCAAACGAGAAGATGTAGGCAAATGCCAGCCAAGACACCTTCTCAGAAAGAAGTGTTCATGGTAGCAGCTCATGCAACAGCTGTTACCATCACGGCCTTTGTCCAAACTAGCTCCATCTGACGATGGTGCCCCCACGCAACGACAGCACAGAGCATCTGCGGGCTTTCCTTGCAACTGACCGTAGAACGTGCAGATGGCAAAACATCTGAGTATCAATACACAAAGCCAAGAACATCGCTCAGAAAGTCATCCTGAATCGCTCGCCGAGGCGGCGGCGGATTTCGTGCCAAGGATTAACAGATCAGAGCTTACGAAGGCCGCGAAACCCAGCCAAACCAAAAGCAAGGTTGATGCCCAGACCAGCAGCGCAAACTGGTAGCGGAACAGGGCCTGTGAAGCGAACACGCTAAGTGGGTCGCAAGGGCATGGCAGCCGGTGATCCCCTTAAGCAATCCATGTAGGATGGCATCACCACATCCCATGTCATGTCAATTCCGAGCTCTATGGGATTAACCCATGGCATGTGACCTTGGTCCCCTTTAAAAAACCCAGAAGGTCATGGCATTCTGGCTCCAAGAGCTGCTCATCCAAACAGCTGTCCAAGGAGCCATCGTTCCCGGTCCAGCAACATTGACGCTCAGCAGGTTTGTCGTCAGGGGGTACCTTGAAGATTCGAGACATTATTGCAACCTCATGTACACAAGGCATACCTCAACCTGTTGTGCATGCTCAAGCCCTGCAACGCAGGACCATCAGGGATGGGTTTTGAGCTCCTCATTTTACTGCTTCTCCTGTTCTGGAGAATGCCCGTCCCTCGAAATAAGCCTGATGGCAATCATCATGTCCCTTCTCATTCATTGCAGAAATCTGCACGGCAACAATGGTGGTGCACTTGTCACTATCGCTGAATAGTCATCATCGCATCAAGAGATGACACAGTTGGGAATTGATCCTACTATGTCCATAATCTTTGATTGCGTAGTCTGTTACAACCAATGTTACTGAGTTCTCGCACTGCATTGCGAGCACATTTGCTGTTTGGGATTTCGATTGGCAAAGTACCACTATCAACTGTCATTACCGCTGCGAATGCATATCCTCCTACGTCTACGACTGCTACTACTACTGATGAAAAAAGAAGCACTACTCATACATGCTCACACAGGAGTTTCTCAGAACGGAACCCTCAAGGGCACCATGACTTTTAAGCATTATGGAGTATGGCAGGATGACTTCGAGAAACTGCTAGTGAGAATGCCAGAAACTATTGAAACCAAAGGAGGAGTGAGAGAGATAATGGGAAAAAAGGCAAGAATACTGCTTGCCCATGGAATGACTATGAGCTGTTCGTCAAGGTGCGGCTCCATGGATCCTGACTGCGCGAGCCGCATCCGGTCCCTGCACTCCATACCATACCTCAACTCGCTATTCACGTTCTGGTTATCATTGCCAGTATGAATGCAACTTCTGTCCTCCTTGGTATCACAATTGCTACAAAAGCTATTCTGACTAGCGTGCTTCTAACTTATCAGAGCTCTGGCAGATACCATGTCGGATTCTGCAATCATTGCTACTCTCATGCTTGCTGTAACCACCCGCCACCACCACCACCACCGCCGCCACCGCCTCCGCCGCCGCCGCCGCCACCACAACCACCACCACCACCACCACCTCACCCTGCCACCGCCTCCACCACCGCCGCCACCGCCACCGGAAAACAACAACCTACTGCTACTTGGTGCCGTTTGTTATGACTGGCCTTGCTATTACTGGAGCTGTTTTGACTAGTACCGTATTGTTCCGAGTAAGGCCATAGCTAAGATCTGGAAAGTTACTGCTGCTCTTCTGGCTACTGGTCTTGTCAATACTATTCTGAGTCACAATAGTAAGACTCGCTACCTTGTGTTTTTTTATGCTCTCATCCTTGTAGCTATTGTGCAAGCAAAGGAGAGAGGTAAATGGCATGCAGCATGCATATAAACAAGACATTGAAAGCCTTGCCATGCAGTGATGGAGTGAGGGAGAGCAAGAGCCACAACAGTCATGGTACGTCTGCACACGTGACCACGTAGGGATTCAGGGGCATGTGGAAGCTCCATTCACGACAGGTCTGTGCCTTCGAACTACTCAGAAACAAGTATCTTCAAACTGCTCACAGGTACTTACAAACACCAGTCAAAGTCATATATTCTGTAGCATGTATTTGTCCATTCTCTGCAAGTTGCTGAACCCCTTCCGGATTGACGCAGGGCTTCATTGCAATCAGGACGTACCACACGATCACAAGGATGGTTGCGATCCTCGAATGCTTAGCATGCTGCTGTGTAAACTAAGGCAAGGGAAGGCAGGCTTGCAGTGCCTTCTGAAAGGCATCTTTGCACTTGAAAGCTGTGAGCTTGCAACGCGAGCTTCACCAGCACAACACCAGCCGCTATGAAAAACTCCAGTCCCTGCATCTCGCATTCGCCTTCCTCTGTCAAAGAATAGCCTTGGCTTGCGAGGATCTTTGGTCTTGCAGCCCATTGCATGACATGATGTGTGTTGTTCTTCAGGGCGTCAACCATGGCTTGTACATGCAGCTGACGGAGCAAGCGTGCGTCGTGTGCATTTGCACAAGTTCAGGTTTCAATCAGCCTCCTCCGCTCGTTTCATGCCGAGATTCCTGGCATGCATCGATTGCAGCGTTCAAGCTGTCCACCTCGCAAATGCAATGCTGGAGGTGGCATCTGCTGTGAACTGCTAATCTCTCTCTGTAGCGCTCCCCGTTATCCAAGAGCAACCCAGTGCAAGTCTGGTCACCATGCTGCCCCGGCTTTGCGGGCACGCACTGCGCGCAGCCTTCAACATTGCAGTGTCGACAAACCATCAGCCTCAGTCAAAGTCCTTTTCTCAAAGCAGGCGTCAGGGCAACATATCAGCATCCAACCTTCCATTCTGGAAGCATCAATGCAGCTAGGCACGTGTCGTCCGGGATGGTTGCGTTCTCCACTGTTCCAAGAAGTCCACACTCCTGCGTCTGTGTGCGGGAGACAGCTGCAGGGAAGTGTCAAAGCCACATTCCAGAGCTGGGAGCGTCCTGCTTCTTGACGCAGCGAAAGTGACAGAACCTGAATTTGAGTGGTGACAGCGATTCCGCACGACGCCTAATGAAGCATGGAAGCTTTCACTGCAATCCGAGTAACTTGTCTCTCATTTCTGCAGCATAGGGACACACCTGAAACAGCAAGAGAGGCAAAGACCAGAGCTGGGGCCAAAAGAGAGAGAGCGAGAGAGAGCAAAAGGAAAGGAAAGAGACGTGCAAGAGAGTGAGGCAGGGAACGCGCTCTAAAAACGTGCCAAAAAGCGCGAGGTAGAACTTTCGTGCCTTCCCAATCCGCTGGGCATCGCATAGAGAGACCTAGATATTTCGTGGTAAAAGATCTGTAGAGGTGGCATCATTTGCTCTGAGATGCTGAGGTGATTGGTACAAGTTAGCGCTTTTACCAAAACCAATAAAGTTGTGTGATCTATCCTTCTGCTAAACTGGGCGACAACCTGCTCAAAGGGCGCCATTCCTAGTCTGACAAAAGACAGAAGTCTAGCTTCATCCGGACAAATCGTACAACCCTGGCGGCAGCAGCAGCAGCAGCAGGTGTAGTGGCACTAAAACAGAAATGCCCAGGCCCATCCAGTCAGGGCGACGACATGCACACAGGAGACTGCGAAAGCAACACAAACTGCCCCTTTGTCACCATGTTCGCCTTTGGGCACAGCTCGGGTCGTGCGAAGATGTCCTGGCAGGGCGAGCTGCTAGCATTACACTTGATACATGCACAGGACAGATTGCTGGTCCTTCTCGCAGATGGAGGTGTCCGTGCTTTGCACTACCTCAGGCCTTGCAAAGAAGGCCGGTCACTTGAGTCTCCACTAGCCGCCCTGGCTGTATAAACCCAAGACTTGTTCTCAACTCGCACCACACCACACACCGGGCTTTGTTTGCTTCATGCAAACGCCGTCCCCGCCTCAGCATCTTACCCATGTGTCCAAGCCTTGCCATTGCCATATCAGTTGGCACCAACAGCACAACAGTTGGTGCAGGTTGCAAGGCTTGGTGTTTGGTCTGCAGGCAGCTGGGAATTCAGCGCATAATCCATGCTCAGTGCTGCGCGGCCCAAGCTTGATGCGTGGGCCATGCATCACATCCCCCTCCTGGACAAGGACCAACTTGTCAAAGCATGCAGCAAAGATGAATAGGTATACGCAGAACCTATATAGCCCCAGCTGTTCCTGTTACTAACCCTACTACCCCTTGACCCTGCAAGTAGCCGCAGGCTCCTCAAATGACTTCCGCTCTGTATGAGCGGCTTGCTGGAGCAGGCTGCGCTGCTGCTGCGGGCCTTGCCATGATCCATCAAGGTTCTTAAAAGGGATAATGGAAAACAGAATGGAAGCTACTATTTAGGGTTTAGGGTTTAGGGTAAGGGCTATATACGGATAATGGAAAATAAAATGGCAG